ATTTGATTTCATAATTAACATGTTCTTTGGAATAAGAAATATGTTCTTTGGAACCCTTTGAATATACCAAACATAATACAGTCAAATCTTTCCTCCTGATGCTAATTTATTGAAATGATCCTTCAAATCTAAATGCAAGTGGCAAACACAAGCACAAATGTGATTTTGAGTTCAATTCAAGATCATGGAAACAACTGCCTACTCGAGACTTCTAGTGTGCCCAAGGACGCCTTCAGAGAGGAAATGAAGACTGTCATTATAACACTATATCCACCCCAGCTGGTTTCCTCTTTTGAGGCCTCAAAAAAAAGCTAAAAAATGTCTTCTGTTGCCTGGCAGAGTTGCTTAGGAAGCATGTAGTTTATAGTCCAAGAGAATTAACATGTAGAGAGTGTTACATAGAAAAAGATTCCATTTAGAAAAGTGACAGAATGGAACGAATTTTCTAAATCAGGTTTGTTCTACTGGTGTTATCAATCTCTTCAGCTCCTGAAAGAGATGACCCCAACTGAAACAAAGTGATTTTCTATTGTAAATTACTGTGTTTTGCATGGAAAGGCTTTTTATCAACTATGAAATCAGGTTCAGCTTCACATTGAAAACATGCACAACAGCTGGTAACAGCTTGAAGACGTGCCTGAAGGATCACAGTGGCTCATTCAATTTAGACTCAATTGCAGTTTGATGATGTCCAAATGCTCATTCTGGTACAAGAGGATTGCAATGCCATCTGAGTTCTCTTTAAGGAGGCCTGTGCTTTATTATCACTGTAATTGTGTCCTGTCTTTGGAAAGAATGGACTGAGCCATTCCCATGACGTGTGATTGCACAGATTTGACACTCAGAGCACGTACAGTAATTACTTGGTAGAAACAAGATTTTAGATGCATAGACAAGTTTGTTTACACTCATAATGTCAGTTTGCTGTGAAGAGAAGTTCCGTTTCTCTGCTTGTAAGAATCACACCAGCGGATCATCAGCCAATGAAAGCCAATAATTCACAATTCCTCCATTAAACTCAGCAGGTCAGGAGTGCAAAGTTTATGTCAACAGCCCAATGACAGCCTTTCTGTGTACAGAGGGCCAATGAAAGAGACAAATATTTACTTTATGTAAACTATAGCTAAGCATGTTACTTAGGCCAAGAAAGAGCTGTTCAGCTTGGCTAATAATAAAACCCAGATGTCAATGAGAAATTTGTAAAGCTTCTTTTAGAGCTCATAAACATAACATTAACTGCAGAACCACACGCATTTAAACATTTTAAAAATATTTTTTTAAAATGCAGGAACTGATTTGACTGTAAAGAACTGAGAAACACTGATAAATGCCTAGATAGCCTAGAAGAATAAATGTCACTTCCACAAGAAGCTAGAGCAAGTCATAGGGAGGAGTCTATCAGTCAAACTTCAGCAAGGCTAGCATTGAGATTTTCTAACTTTATGTCTGTCCACAGTTTGGGTGCCAGCATGTTTAAGGCTTTGCTCTGAGTACCTTCAGTTCACTAACTTATTTTGTTGTTGAAGAAGCAAAACATGTTAAAAGCAGCTAGGGTGATTAGTGTAAATCAAGATACATTATCAGTCATCATTAAGGGCCAAGTAGATGCACTGCAAGGCAGTACCAGATAAATAAGACAGACCCCACTTTTATGAACAGATAGATACATGCTTAATTGTCAATTGAACAAAAGAGAAGTGATGAAGTAATTAATTAAGATATGAACATATCTTCAGTCCTCCTGCACAGACCCAAGAAGAATAGGGCACTGTATTTGCAAAATTTTTGAGAACACAAGAAAAAAACTGCAAAAGGTCCCCATGGTTCAAATAACACAACATATGGGTGAAGAGGAAGAAAGCATTTTATTCTTTACCTCTTTGCACATGTGCAGTGCTAGCTGCAATGAAATGCACTGAAAACTTTCAACAGAGATAGTAAAACTCATCATTATAACTCAGAGAAACTGCTGAGATGTCAGAACTCCTGTTCAGTTTCTCTGAAGCAAGGTGACATTATTTCTTCAAAGTTTTGTTGAAGTAACAACCAATTCCCATCAATTTGCAGACTATGCAACTGAATTTTAAAGTTCTGAACTAAATATTTCAAAATTTTAAATATTTGGTTTACAACTAGTAGTTCATTTTTTAGATACTTTATTTTTTTTATTTGCTGTTTTATTTTACCATGAAAGCAGTAGCCAGAAATTCTAGGACTTGGAAATGAAAGCAACACTTCTACTAAAAGACCCAACATCTCACAAGTTTATTAAAAAGTTAAACTAGAGCCCAGAAGTTCTCAAACAATTTCAAAGACTGTCATCTGAATGACAACTTCCCATCATTCTTTCCCCCCCTCCTTTTTCTGCATAGGAAATAATCATAACTACACAATTTCCTCAAGAGAAACAAGGCTTGGTCAAAACATTGTTCCTGATAGGAAATCTTTTAAAAGAATTAAAATTTTCCAGTCTTTCTAGTATCTCTCACAAAGTCATAAAAGAACTCAAGCCCTCTGCTGGACATCTGCTGAGGCTTTTGCTTTATTCAGCACCCTCAACCCTGCTCCACAATTCAGTGCTCCCCTGGGGAAGACAAGAGGACAAAGATGGTGAAGGCAAAGATGGCAAATTTTTCTAAAATCTGAGGGTCACTGCTTTGTTTTCAGGTTTGTAAAAAATAAGTTACCCCTTCCCCATCCCTCAGTGAATAGTTAAATCCCTGAACAATTTTCTTGCCATTATTTAATCAACTGAAGAACATCTGAAGGTATTTTTTCTTTTTTGCATGTAGCCAGCACAATGGTACAACAGAAGGCACCTGTGCTGTTCCTCTAAACTGCACTTACTCATTCACAGTTTCTCTTTCATTCAAATGAATTTAGAGATACCCATCTGTGCTATGGATAGATGGAGTAGAGTGAGGCTCAGAAAAGCAGTACAGCATTATTCACAGGGCTGGAGAATCCTGGAAAGCAGTAACCTAGAAGGAGACAGTGATCAAAAGGACTGGATAAAGCATACATTTAGCAGCAAAAGGCCTGAATACCAGAGAGCTAATTCATTGCTCTGTGTCTCCAAGCATTTTCATCTTAAATACACAGTTTATTTCTGTGCACTTTACTGCTGAAAGGAACTGTGAGAAAGGAAAATGAGGTTATTTCTCCAGAAGCTAGACTGAAAGATTTAAAGTATGAAAATCTTCTCTTCAGTTACAGGTAGGATTTCTATTAGTCATGTATTTGCAGCACCAGAAGGAAAGGAATATTATTCCTGTCTCTGACATTCAACACCTGGTTTCAGAAGATGAAATAATTTAAATCAAGCATTAGGAAAAGGTTCTGTGTAATGGAAAGCATGAGACCTCCATTATATCAAGCACTTAAAAATCAGATGTGAAAATATTTAGTAAACATTTGGGAACAGAAACTTCTGTATTAACAGACAAATGAGTAGGGAATATAAGGCCAAGATAATCATGATGAAACATATTCTCAGAGTAGTGTCTAAGTCTCCAGTGATCTTAGGACACTTCCATAACCTCACTTGATCTTCATTCATGGTAAGGTTAGGAGTCCTTCCAGCAGCAGTAAAATTCTGCACTGGAAGAAACTGTCCAGAAACAATAGTGATTATCTTTCCTACTTCTGACATCTGATCTGACTTTCACAGGTAGGAGATTAAAAAAAAACAACAGATCTTCAGGTAATGGAAACAATCATAGATCCACCAAAAAGAAGTTGTGTGTCAAATAAATATTTGCAGGTTTTGTCACTTTACTTGCTGCTCTAATGATCCTCTGATTATTTACTTGTGTGTGCCAAAATTTAGTTCTCTCCTGTCCAGACTTCTCTCATGCACTATCATTCATCAGCTCAAGAAAAACATTTTTATCTGATGCAACAGATCTGCCTCCAGTGGATAAACAATATATTATATATCAGTCACCATTTAGATATACAGTTCTTAATTCTAAGAGCTGGTTTCTATTTGTTTCCTTAATTAATTACATGTACAACATTACATATTTCTCATCTGTACCTATAGCATTTTTTAGTGATAACTAATCTGTGGCTTTTTCTCCTACTGAAATAACTACCTGGGGCTTTGGCTTTTAGATGCCAAAGTGTCAGTGATCTATGACAGTGTCAATTAAAAGGGAAAAACCATTGAGTAACATTGAAGTCTTCATGTGTGGTATCTACTTCCCATCAATACTTTCTAATGCTCCTATCACACAGTTATCTAGAGGTCATTTACATAGCAAATGCCAACTAGTTTTGCAAGAGAGCTCAAAAAGCTTTTTGGTGTAAATATCACCATTCCTAATGGCAAAGTAATATGTGAAAGTTTTTTCTCAAAATTACGTGTAAACTTTTAAATCAGTGTTCTCTCTTACTAGTTAAATGTAAGGCTTTGCCTTCCAGAGATGCTGAGGAATTTGGCTATGTTATAAGAACGTATGATCTGAAATTACAAAAAGACTTTTCACTGAAAGTCCATGAAGACTGGACTGGTAAAATGAAACATTTAACTCAAGAGATTAGAAAATCTCAATTTGTTCAGACTTTTACCAGGAGAAATCTCTATGCACTGGAAGGAGCATCACATCTATGTCTGCACTCACACCACGCCTGGCACATTCCTGATGTGGCCACAGTGACACATCTGTCTATCCTAATTGTAAAAACATGCCGTATTCTGACTTCCTTACAGCACTTTCTGTTAAAGATTACACTCTGAAGATATATTGTGAAAGCTGTCATGATAGGCTGCCTTAGAGCTGGAGAACCAATGTATTTATTTACCTTCATCCAGAATGAATGGGAATTTAAGCTCCTAACTCACAGCAGCTTTCCTATATGAAATGATAAAGCAGTAAGCAGTAAGCAGCAGATAAAATGAAGATCTGAAATGGTATAGTCTCTTTCCATATTAGGAAAGCAAATCTTAAAATGCACACTTACTCTCAAATGATAAACAAGATTTGGAGAAGCCTTACCTTCTATGATCTGAGCTGCTGCACCAGCATGGATTGACAAGCCAAAGAGCAGTAGCGACAAGTCCCAGGTCCACCAGGCATGCCTGGAGCAGGTGTGCCAAAAAAAAGGAGGGTGGGGGAAGAATGAAACCAAGAGTGTAACACAGAAACACAGGGGGGAAAAAAAGAAAAAGTAAAATTTAGAAGCAAGAGTTCTTACCATGAGAGCATTTTCTGAAAGTCAGTGGAAAGAACTTAAGTGAGAAAAAAGTGCAGTGCACATGAGTTTTATGCTTATGAAAATAAGAAGTTAATAAAAACTGGAGCCTGCTGTTTCGCCTCCAACGTTCAGACGAAAGTGGAACAAAGGCAGCACTCAGGCTCTCTGAGTGACTCACTGCAATTCACTGCTCCAGCTCTGAAATCTGACTCCGCGTAGACTTTCCTGTCAGACCACTGCTGAAAACTTCCTACTGTATTTATGGATGGACACCCCTTACTGCTGTACACCACCCCAGCCCTGTCATTACCCAGCCCTGTCTTTAACTGCTGAGTACCCTGACAGGCAGCAGCACAGCGTCTCCAGCTTCCCCTCCCGCCTGCTCACAACCTCCACTTATTGAATAAAATATGACCTCCAACATCCTTCCATCCAGCGTTACACAGGCAGTGATACGAATTCCTACATGGAATGGACATTTCTCCTGCCATTTTAGCCAAACTTTATCAGATGCAAGTTTGAAGGTATGAGCAGGACAGAGCAGCAGTTAAATGGCAAGCAACACCTGGGATTCACACCTGCACTGTCTTACAGATTTTGTCACCTACAGAGACATTTTGAAGTACACCCTTTTCTCTGACAAGCTCTCTAAGTTTAATCCTCATATTTACAGAGATTTACACCCTGCATGTAGTTGAGAGTATGTCCCTACCTCAGCAGCTGCACATATGTGTCTCCTATAGAGATCCTGTAGCTGAGCATTTCTAATAGTTTCCATTAAAAGTGTTACTTCACTCCTCCCTCCTAACTCAATGAAAAGCATTTTTTTCCACTTGTAGTTCTACAAAGCTAGCACTTGCCCAAGGAAGAAATTCTGCAAGGATATGCTTGAAAATAATCTGACAATTTTTAAGTCATCAGACATTTAACAAAGGCTGCAATTGTCACTTTTTGACTGGGGCAGGAGAGAGCTTGGAAAGTTCTATGTATAGAAAGAGACCAGTTGGGCTTTTGGTAGATCTAGGCTGAAAAGTGCTGAAGATCATCTTAGGAGAATCAAAACTAAAAATGGATTTACCTAGGATGGGAAGTGGAAGACAGAGAGGAGCAAAGTTTTTTGCAGTAATGAAAGAACAATCCCAATCAATAAACAAAATTAAGAAAAAAATCATTTTACTCTGAATAAAATGTTTGAGTTTGGAGGTGGTGGTATTTAGTTGGCTGTTTTGGGCAAGGTTTGTTACTGGGTTATTGTAGTGGCTTTTGTTGTTGCTGTTGTTGGGGTTTTTTGATTGCTAGTTTGTTTATTTACATTTTGTTAAATAGGAAATGCAGAGGTTAGAGCTTAAAAATCTAGAATATTGATTCTACTCCAGACTCCTCTTTTTGGTTAGAAACCACAACAGGTCAGTTCTCTCCAGGTATAATTTAAACTAAGCTGCAGACCAGTATTATTTGCTATCCACCTTCTCCATAATAACAAGGAATGAAGAGATCAAATTATCTTTAATCAAGTGTCTTAATATAAATGCACACAGTTTTATCTTCTTCAGAGGACCAAAAAACCCCTGTTTTCAGGCCCATAGTACTTTATCAGGGCTGAAAAAACGTTTCATCATTCACCTTTTCTACTTGAGGCTGTCATCATTTTGCTTTCTCTCACCATGATATTTTTCCCTTGTTACCACCAGCCAGACTGCTTACAGGAACAGTGTTTGTAACATCTGGTCAAATCATACTTTATGCCTTTATCTTGCACACTATATATATGTTATCCTAAGAGAAAATACTGAGGTTTTAAGCATTCATGGAAAATCTCTTTATATATGCAAGTAAGTATGCATGTATGTATGGCTGGCTTACTTTTCCATTTTTTTTCCTTTTTTTTTTCCATTTTAATATTTAGCAATAGCTACCAAGAGCTATTGTTAGTCCTGTTGAACTATTTTTAAACTCAGTTCCTTCCTTTGAGAGGAAAAAAGGAACTATCTATCTCTCTATCCACAAAATGTCAGTGGCTTACCTGCGTAATCCTTCCTGTTGCAATAGAGTTTTTAATACAGTATCTATGGCAAACATATGTCTGTCTTGGTATCTTACAGTAGACTAACATATTAAAGAGACAAATATAGAAGCAGTCTCCAGATTTATAAAACTTGTAATGAATTTTTACAGTATACACAGCAAAGACTTATTTGATGGATTTTTCCTCCAATTTTAGAAAACCCATAGAATCGAAGGAAGTAATAGGCTATTCATGCAAACCATCTACATGAAATGCTGCTGATAGTGCCTTTAGTTTCTGCTGGACATTTTAACATGGATATCTGGCCAATGCTCAACATCATTATCCAATACTGGATAAAGGAAAACAAGACAGAGTACGTTCTTGACCTCTGCAGTGCATTAGTTTTGAATGGATGGCTGTGGAGGAATCCCTAAGTACAAACAATTTATTACCCCCACTGCTGTAGGTCACTGGGATTTCCTGCATATCTAGTGCTTATTTGAAGGGCCAAGAATTACTGAAGTACAGGCTTTCTATGTCTGCTATATCCATGTACCCATATATATCTTTCTCCCCACAAGGGCAGTGACATTTGTACACACCCACTCAGTTTTAACCTTGCTTTTTGTCTCATGTTTTTCAAACACAGCAGGACTCCTTTGAATTAGGACATCTGTGCTTTCCTTCAGTACTGTGTCCAGCTGTCTTCAACTACACTGGTGTTTTCCTTCTTGGTAAAAATCTCCATTTTCCAGGCAGAAGTTTTGTTTATTTCCCCTAGCTCTGTCAACTGATTACACTCCTTAAGACTCCAAATGGCAGGCCACAATTCTGCTATTGCAGCTCTTAGCCGTTCACTGAGTTAGGCTGGCTGGCTGGCTGTTGTTATATTTCTTATCAGAGGGTGTTTCTTTCTTTCCTGCTGACTGCAACACAAATTTCTTAGCTGCACTTTTCTATCCTATATAATTGTAGGATATAAGACTCATAGGAGTGTTCTTGTGCAAAGTTAGTGTCAGAGAAGCAGTCTGGACCAAGGCCTGAGTGAGTTAAGAACCATACTAGAAAAGACTAAAAGATTTATCTTTTGCTTAGACTTCTCCTGAGCATGGACAAATAGTTTGCATTTACCATAGCCTCTGGAAAGGAGGTCTGCAGATCAGTTGTGTATTTCATGAAGTCTCTGCTTCTTTTGTTTTCAGCTTAGGTCCTGCTGATGTTCCTTGATGTCTCTGAGTTCTTGTACTGAATAGGGTTCACCAAATCAGTGACCACCCTTTTTTCTCCATGCCCTTTGCAACTTAAGAAGCCTCTTTTATATACCCTTCCTACTTGTCTTCTTTCTGCACCAAGGGTGAACTTACTTGGTTGTTTCTTGTAGTGCAACCATTCCACACCTCTCGTTATCTTTTTAGTCTTTCTCACAGTTTCTGATCTCTAGGACATAACTTTTGATCTCTGGTGAAGTCAAGAGAATCATAACTGCAAACAATGCAGGTGATCCCAAGATTTCTTGAGTGACATAGCAATGTACTCTCTCCTTTATCTGCTGAGGAAGACAACTGATGTGCTTTCTTGACTGCAGCCAAGATGACATCTTCATGGAACTTGCATAAGCTCAATAATTTGCACTTCAAAGGTATTTTTATGTGCAATTGGGATTTTCCTCCTTCTGAATAAATTTATAACAAATGGTAGAAATTAATGTAATCTATCATTTAATTCTACAGTTATTCCCTCTTAGAAGATCCTTTTGGAATTCTTTACAATCTCTCCCATCCTTATTTTAAAAAACTCTCATCAGTAAAGTTCACTACACAGCACTCATGTAACTGCCTGCCCTCACTTAATCCCACAAGAAAGATGGAGAGAGGCTACAAGTACATTTAATGACAGGACAAGGAGAAATGACTTCCCACTGACAGAGAGAACATTTAGATATTAGAAAGAAAGTCTTTACTGTCAGGCCAGGTTGGATGAAGCTCTAAGAGTTGTCCCTGCCCATGGCAGGGGCTTGGAACGAGATGGTCTTTAAGGTCCCTTCCAACCCAAACCACTCTGTGGTTCTATGAAAAGGCAGGCAGTACAGTATATGAACAATTTCAATGGTGACAAATCTCTACTACATGGGTTGTCTCTATATTCCTGAAATTTTGTCTCTCTTTTAACAAGTTGTTCACTCACAGACTCATTTCTTGTGCCTTGGCTTCCTGAAAAGTCAGCCATTCTGAGTACTCATTTAGGATTACTGCAGAGTATATCAATTTATCCAGAAACTCTGAATGACATTTTGGCTTTGAATATGATCAGCTGCTAAACAGCTAATTTCACAGTGGTTTGGCAGTACACTTTCAGAAGCTTAACAGATGATTCAGTATCTGTTTTTCTGCATTTTTCTCCTTTAAACAAAGCACCTTAGGAAAAAGAAATCTATAAATGCATATTTTAGTACATACTTATGAAAGAATAAGAGTGTATATTTATGTACCTGAAGACAGGGCTGTAGTAAACCCTACAGATGGGTACAAATTAAGGCCACATAGCCCAAGAATTCTGGCATTTACTGGCTCTTTAGTACTTAATTTCAATTAATTTGATTTTCTGCCTACTCTATCCCTCCCTCACAGTACTATAAAAAGCATTGGAAAAAAATATTAAATCTTTCACAGAGCTGGGGCTGATTGGCAAAGAAGGCAAAGAAGAATCAGGGACCTGAAGCTTGTAATGGAAATCCTAGAAAGGAAGGAATCTCCCATCAATACTTACATTGGGAGATGATTTTTGAAAAGGAAGAGACAAGGTCTGTTGGGCACACAGGTGAGTGTGAAAGTGGGTGTATAATACAGAAAAAAAAAGGAGAGTAAGACTGAGTGAAAAGCCTGGGATAACAAGCTGAGGAGAGGTGAGGACAAAGCTAAGATGACTGGAAGCCAGTTGGGCAGCAGAAGGAAAGGGAAGAGTTGGTATGTTACCTGACACTAGGTAGCAAATACACTAAAAAGA